AAAAACCCGTTGAACAACATATTTAGGGGTCGTTTGGTAGTATGTATTAATATAATGTAAAATGGAGTCTATAAGTAATGTTTGCATTAGCAATGCATATGTTAGTTATGCTTGCATTAATTATACATAGATTATATTTATGCATTGGTTGGTTTGATAAAAAATTATTTACAAAAACACCCTTCACTATTATGGTGGAAAAGATATGAAAAATGTATTGAGGGGCAATTGGGTCTTCAATTGAGTTAATGCATGCATTAAAAGCATTGCATCGCTAATACCTAAAAATTCATAGTATTAACAGTACACACTTTAATGCACAATAGAGTGTATACCATAAGTTCGAAAAGAGTATCAAACAAGGTACTAGTAATACACAAGGCTAATGCATGCATTATTTTTTTTAACACACTCTACCAAGCAACCCCTTAGTGTGATCCAACTGGTGAGATTTACGGAGGGTAGAGTGTAAAGATACCCAGACCTTAGCCCTATTTCTTGTAAAGAGAGTGCGCATGTACAAAACAATAACAACATACTCAATAGAATCTAGACAAAAACTATACCCTTACTCTTATCTCGTGAAAGAAAAAGAGGGTTGTTTTCGAATGATCCTCGTGACTTTGTTATTAGGTGCTTGATATTCAATTTGATTCTTGATTAATTTAGATTCATGTTAGGAAAGTCTCACTTTAAGAGGTACAAGGCTCACTATTAAAAGTGATTTCCTAAGATTCAAATTTTTGAGTTGATTTTGATTGAATGTGTAGCCAAAATAGACTCATGAGAAGCCTTATAAAAATAAATCATATTAGAAATTATATCAAAGAATAATAACTTTATAAACATTTTCCAGTGCAGACAATACAAAAAAACGAGCATATTGAAGTCTGAATAATAGAAATAGTGACGACCTTCAACGAGAAGAGTGTATACTAGCATGTAATTTTACGAATGGAGTCTGTAAAAAGAGACTATTTTTGAAATACTCGAATAATGTTAAGTAGTTTATAAATAGTGGTATTTTTTACTAATTAGATGAAGAAAGAACCAATTAATGATAGTATTCTCGTGCTCTAGCAATTGCGCTCCCTAAACTACTACCATGTAGTCAGGTAGGGAAAATAAGTTCAAATGCTGAATTGTTCGTTATCAATTAAGTATAAGTGAAAACTCTCTCGAGTTTCTTCCTCCCGCGCTCGTTGCTCTATTACGCGGGTATAGAGAGGATGGAGTGTAGAAACTATTTTCAAAAAATGCTTAGGATATAAGAGAACGTATGCGTACAATAATAACAACAACATCATAACGATGTAATAATCTCACAAGTAATATCTGATAGCATAACATCTTGCTGACTTCACATAGCAGCAGCTCTGCCTCTTGCTTGGGCAACAAGTAATGGTGTTGTCAAAGACAAGTAGTCTAACCCCTAAAAAAGGCTTCTCATAGTTTGGACCATCACTTTTTTTTTCTTGATAACCAAATACCAAGAAGATCTACAAATTCTTTCGTGGAGATATAGTCCAAACCATTCGAGAAATACGCTACCAATTAACACGTAAAATTTAAGTGAGAGAGAAGAAACAAGGAATAGCAAAAAAAGTTACCATTGTGAGGTAGATTCACTATTTTTGAAAAAACACTAGGCGCGAGAATAGACATATTCAATATAATCTCACATGTAGAGTTTGAAAAAATGAGTAGAGTATAGACATATCTTACCCTACCTCGTGAATGATAAAGAGGTGATATGTAATACAACAATAACATACTCAGCGTAATCTCACAAGTGGAATCTGCAAAGATTAAAGTATAAGGCATGCATATCTTACTCGTATCCCGTGAAAGATATATAGTGGCTATTTACGAACGTATCCTCGGCGCGAACGAGAGCTGGGAAATCTAAAGCACCCATTTAATTTTTCCATTGCCCCACATCGATTATTAAACACAAATAGAGTCACTTTATAATCTCTCAACTAAACAACAAGTATGCTGAGCTTGGTAACTCAAGTGAGAGCATCAAGGTGATTTGTGAACAAACAAGAAACAAATGGTGAAGTTGTCATTGTGGGTGGTGGACACCAGCATAGAGTTTTGGCTTGTTTGTTTAGCAGTTGGAAGAGTTTGGTTTAGAGGATGCTCATGTGTGTAGCATTAGAACCTCTTGCTGACTTCACAGAGCAGCGGCACTTCCTCTTGCTCTCTCAAAGACCAACTTGCTAGCAAGTCCAAAATCCAATCCAACAATGTACTTTCCCATAGTTTGGACCATCACCTTTTTATACGTTTTTGAATGTTACTTAACCCTAAACTCTAGTAGTTCATGCATAATTTTAACCCTAAACTCTAGTAGTTCATGCATAATTTTATGATGTCTTGTCGATTCCAATTAGGGTACATGGTTTTGGAGGTACTTCATGCATAATTTCATGGAATGTGTTCGTTTTGTTAATTATATAATTAGGGTAGCGTTTTTGTAGGCTACTCAACTTTAAGCCCTAGTTTATGCATATATAAAATATATTTTTGTGGAACTCTAAATGGACAATCAAACCTATTTCTCGATTCGCTCAAAGAGGTGAATAGGGTCCTAATAGAGATATGTAAAAACCAGGTCCGATTACGCGTATTCCTAATCCTAAATGGAATGTAACGATGTAGGGATCCATATGTAAACATAGTATCTATTTAGATAGGTCCAATTAGCCCCTTCTCATTATGAGAATGTATATAACCCTATTCCGGCCTAGTCCGGTATGGAATGAACTTATAATCATGGAATCGTACGTTTTTGTAGGCTACTCAACCCTAAGCCCTAGTTCGTGCATATATAAAATGTATTTTATAGAACTCTACATATGTTCATCTATAAAACATGTTCAATTCTAATTAAGGTACGTATTTGGAGGCCTAAACCCTAGCTCATGCCTATATAAAAAATATTTTATGGAACACTACTACAAGACGTGTTTCAATTTCAAATAGGGAAGTTTTTGGAGGCTACTCAACCCTAAACCGTAATTCATGCCTAGATAAAAGATATTTTATGAAATTCTGTAAGATATGTTCAATTCCAATTATGGTATATTTTTGGAGGCTACTCAACCCTAAATCCTAGTTCATGTCTATATAAAAGATATTATATTCATTTTCAAGGCATCTTGAATATTCCGTAAACTCTTGAAATATTTACAAGGAGATCAAAATATGTCAAGATTCTTCTTGATAATCAATTATAAAGAAGATCAACAATTATTCATGGAGATCACGTCCAAACCGTCCTAATTTGAGAAATATGTCATTACTAATAGTTCTCGAATCACGAAGAAATCTTAAGAGACAGAAAAAATCTCAAGGGATAAATAGATTTGTACGTACAATATTTATCAATAAAATTATACTTCCTTTTATTATATTTATGTTTGTAATTTATTTTCCATCACTTTAAAATTTGTTGCAAACGCATCTGCGTAACCATAATTTTGGATCACTTATAAGCATGTCTTAGTTTTTTCAACATCTCCTCTCTTTTTACCCAAAAAAAAAAACTAGTTAAAATTTCAGATTGGCGTAATTTGGACCTTATACTATTTTGAAAAAAATAATCTCATAATCTAGTTAAAGTCGTAGTTATATTATTTGTTTTTTTGTTAGATGGTTTGATATTAGCTTTAAATCATGTCAAGAATGTTTGCTCATTTTCAAAAAATGAAAATAATAGAGAATGGTAACTTTATAAATATTTGTCAATGCAAATACTACAAAAATAATCAATAAATAGCAGAGTATATATAACATAATAACATACCCAGTGTAATCTACAAGTAGAGTCTGAAAAAGTAGAATATATGAGTTATTAAGCGAGGTGGTTTCTGCAAGACCTCGGAGCAAGAAGAGAGGTGGTTTCCGCAAGTCCCTCGGAGCAAGAAAGAGTGTTTGCACAACAACTATCTTACACACTCGATCAATGTAATCCTATATGTGGAGCCTGGGGAGGATGGGATGTATGCTTACCCATACCTTACACCTACTTCGTGAGAGGAAAAGAGACTATATTTTGAAATACTCAAATAACATTAAATGATTTATCAATTTATTCCCATTTGTATTTGCTGAAACTTCCCATTCAATTTAAGTAGAGGACAGAGTGGAGGAACGTTACTGTTTTTGCAAGACCCTCGATGCGATAAAAGCACATATAACAATGTAATCCCATTGACGAAGTCTGGAAAAAGTTACTATATGCAAAATAAAATTACTCGTTCTTTAGTAGAAAAAGTTTTCCACCATACCAAACACACTCTTAATAGTCAAAAACATACCTAAACCATCTATTCCTCCTAGTTTCACAATTCTAGCTATCTGTTGTTCCTAAGTTTGCCTTCTCACATAATCTAGAAAAACATCATATTATAATATGATTAGCCATTTTCTTATCCATTTTACTTACAAGTTCCAACAAAAGGTAACCATTAAGAAGACCTTTTAAACGGTCTCTTATTATAGTGAGTGTAGAATATCCCTTAGTCTTCCAATTTTCGAACTGATTTGTAATGTTTTTACTTGAGCCAAAGACCTATCAGAAATAACATCCCTACTTTGTACTTTGTAGACATAAGGTCTACGTAAACGCTATTCTCACACTCCATTTGTAAGATTACACTGAATATGTTGTTGTATAATGAGTTTAGAGTACCTTGTGCACTTATTTGCCTATTGCATTTGTTGTTTAGTACTGCTCGACTACAATTTAAGCGAGGCAAACCACTCTCCTGGATCTTTAGTGTTTAAACACATCTTAAATGATCAACTCTTGACGAATTTAACAATAACATACTCAATGTAATCCCACAAGATGTGGTTTGAGAAGAGTAGAGTATACGGGACTGTATCCTTCTGACAGAGTATTTCCGAAAGAACCCCAGCTCAAGTGACGCAAATCATTGAACACATAAAAGGGAACTAATAAAGCATGTACAAGAGGAAGCATCACATGACATAGAACCAAGAAAACTTTAAGAATGACAAAGTCAATCTTCCAATAATTCTCATCTCACTAGTTATTGTGGTAGGTACTACCAGCACCCTCCAAGTTCTTTGCACTTCACATACACCATTAACATTAAAAACCTGGATCCCATTAAGTCTTGAGACCAAAACATGTAACCCACTATGTCTCTCTCATTCCATCATTATTCCCCATTTGACAATAACCTACTACAACTAGTAGTAAAAGCTTCAGCTGGTGGGCTCACCTTCCACATCCTCCACATTTCAATACATATCTTTGTCAAACACCATCTTATTGATTCATAATTCTTCCCTTTTTGTTTCTCATACATTATATATATGTACAATACACTATGCACAAATATATTCCAGTCTTTTTGGTTGAGACCCAATATATCTTGTAGTTGACAATTGTTCAGACTTGGTAAAGGTTATCACAACACCTATAGTAGGACAAGAGGACTTGTTAGCTCTGGAGATTGACTTAGAAAAATCTCATATTGGAATAAAGAGGACCAATATAGGGCCTCCTATATAAGGCAGAATCATCAGGAATTCAACTGTTGAGAAGTCTGTACAATGCAAAATCGCGAAGCTGCAAAGATTTTTTTTTTTTGAGAAGGTAACAGTTGTGTTTATTGACAAGTCAGTACATGGGTTTGCACTGAGCTCCAAAGATTAGACCAGAAAGGACAATATCTTGACAATTGAGCTGAGCCATTGGGTTAATTTGATTCCAATGGATGATTTTTGTTGTACTAGTAACTTCATGGTATTTGTTATTTTCTTAGCTTTACAGTTGCATAACAGCAGTGAAGCATTTGGGACATTCAGGTTTGATATACACCACAGGTATTCTGATCCAGTAAAAGGTATTTTAGAGCTTCCCTGGTTGCCTAAAAAAGGTAGTATTCAGTATTATTCAGCTTGGACACAACGTGATCGCCATATCAACAGGCACCGGCTTACCAGCACCATTGATACTACTCCCAACAGTCGCCGTCTTACCAGCGCCATTAATCCTACTCCGCTACCTCTCACGTTCGCCGGAGGAGGAAACAAAACAGTCCTACTCAGTTCTTTGGGATTGTAGGTTCCTTCTGCTTCTCTATATTAATACTTCAATCACCTGTGTCAAAAGAACTTCTCCTTATGATTATCTGTGTTTTTTTCATTTTGGGATATCCAATAAAATTGGAATGATACAGAGAAAATTAGCATTACTGTTGTGCAAGTATGACACATGTCTGTTTCAATTTGACTGAGGTTTACTTGTCTATGTAATTTGGCAATGGAAGTCAGTTTTGTAAGAGAAAGAAGTCGAGGTGGATTCAGGATTTATAATCAGAGGATGCATCTATACTGAGACAGTGGGACCGGTAGACATGCATCCACTGCTTACACGTAGGGGACCCTGGGAAGAGGGGATCTAGTATATTAGTTTCAGTCTCATCCGAACTCAATAGCTTTGGTTCAGACTCTATATATATAGTTGTTAATTTGCATTACCTGTAGTCGTGCTGCAACCACGTAAGTTCTTCCTTCAGGACTAACTAAATTGTGTTTGTGTGAGTTTCAGTTTGCATTATGCAAATGTGACAGTGGGCACACCTGGGCTATCATTTCTGGTGGCACTTGACACTGGCAGTGACTTGTTTTGGCTACCATGCAACTGCAACAACTGCGCTCAAACACTCCTGACAGGTTCTGGAAGAGTATGTCAATCGAATTTTAGTTTTGTGCATTAACGGTATATAATTTATAATTTTTTTTTTACATCATCAGCTTAAGTTAACCTATAACAACAGGATACTCTTACCTATCAAAAAATTATGTGATATACCTATAAAACAGGATAAAAACTGGCCATAGCCAGTTAAATTGCATGTCATTTCATAAAATTGCAATTAAGCTTGAGATCTAGTTTCAAAGAAGAAATTGGGAGGACAAATTTGGGGGAACAGTTGAAATTTGAATTATTAAAGGTTTAAAATCTCATAGAATTAAGTATGTGCAAAAGTGAGATTTCATGCATGTCATATAGGGTTGAAAAAAGAGTGAATGAATGATCAATGAATAGGGAGGATACACAAGTGGTCTTGGGTTCAAAATCCTACTGGAGGTGTATAACACTAAGAAATTTCCTCCCATTTTGCTTAAGTCTTGGTCACCAGAGCTACTCGATACCTATACTAGTGAGAGACAGGAGGTACCAGAAGTTAGGCCGAACGCCTCCATCATGAAAAAATATGATCGAAATGAAGTTTTGGATCACCATTCATTGAAAAATTGAGGTTCTTACTAGCTTAAGTTTTGTGTGCTACTGTACTACACCAAAAGTTAATTTCATGGACTAGATTTCCTTGTTTGTGTTTTTTTCTTCCCTTTTTTTCTGTTCACGTCATTGCTTGATGACACTAATCATAATTGTTTACAATTTACATTTTTGGAACAGCCAATAGACCTTAACATTTACAGCCCGAATACATCATCAACAAGCAAAATTGTTCCCTGCAGTGGCACTCTATGTGCGCAAGGAAGACAGTGTTCAGTGGCACAAAGTGCATGTGCTTATAGAGTTGCATATCTCTCCCATAATACCTCATCTTCTGGGGTACTGGTCGAAGACATCTTGCACTTACAAACAGATAGTACTCAACAAAAGGCTGTTGAGGCACCAATCACATTCGGGTGAGTGTCTATTACTTCATGTTTCTCTTTGGAAAATATTAGGGTAATAACTAAGACAGGCCAGTGCGAGAGAAAGTGCAAGCTTAAGGATCAGAGGGAGATCTACGGGTTCAACTTTCCATCTCGAACTATGCATACATGTACTAAAAGACATTTACGATGTATACATATTATGAAATCAAACTGATTATGAACTTGCTGACTAAATCTTTTGTTTGCCTCTTCCTAGAATACCTGTGAAATCAACTAGTCCAGTGATAATTTCAGAAAGTAGTTTCGATTTCCCAAATTTGATAAATAAGCATTGGGTTGTCTAATGTTTTTTCTTGTCCAATACAATCTATATTTACAAGTAGTCCTAGTCCTATTTCAGGTGTGGAATGAAACAAACTGGTGCTTTTTTGAATGGTGCTGCACCCAATGGTCTATTTGGACTCAGTATGGGCAATATATCTGTTCCTAGCGTCTTAGCCAACAAAGGTCTTGCTGCGAATTCTTTTTCTCTGTGTTTTGGAGCTGACGGTATTGGAAGAATAGATTTTGGAGACAAAGGAAGTCTGGACCAAGGAGAGACACCATTCAATCTTGAACAGACACAGTAAGCATTCACCTTGATTCAAAGGATTTAGCATTTTGATTCTGATTAAGATGTGGGAATACAATCTAAATATCTATATTTCCTTCTTTTCTCTCTCTAAATGCAGCCAAACTTATAACATTAGCTTGACGGGAATTACTGTGGGAAACAAGAATGTTGATGTTGATTTCACAGCCATATTTGACTCTGGCACCTCATTCACATACTTAAATGATCCTGCTTACAAAGTCATTACAGAGAATGTGAGTCAGGAGCAAACACGAATGCAACTTTTTTCACTATTCAATTAAGCAATTATTTTCAACGCGTAATACAAATATATCATATAAACATAAACCATAATTTCAGAAATACGATAATTTCAGAGTTAGAAACCTTAAACATTGAACTCATCAAGCTTAAATCCCAGATGTGCCTTCGGTCAGGACTCAAGAGTTGAATGTATGGTCACTAGTTGGCGATTTTGTTGTTTAATATTCAACAACTAATATGTTTAGTATATTGTGCAGTATAATTCTCAGGCACAAGAGCTACGTATTCAGCCTATGGTCCAAGTTCCATTTGAGTACTGCTATGGGCTTAGGTAAACCAGCTTTTATAATCTGTCTGCATGCCTTCACTTAACTCCCTATATACTCTAAACAAAGTTAAAACCATCTGATGATACAGGGCAAATCAAACTAACTTTCAAATTCTTGATGTAAATTTGATGATGAAAGGTGGCAACCAGTTTTATCTTTTTGATCCAATTATAACATTGTCCCTTCCGGTAAGATAATACTGCTCTTAGTATGTTAGAATTAGATCATTCTTGTTATCATTTTCTAATTTCGACTGACACTGCTTAATCCTCAGGACGGTTCCACAGCATATTGTTTAGCTGTTGTCAAAAGTGGGGATGTCAATATCATTGGACGTGAGTATCTATTAACTAGTAATGAAATTCTACTTACTGAAATATTAAGAAGTTTTAGTTTTCATCTTTTTTTCTAATGATGGTGGTGTTGGAGCCAGCTTACGCATACTTTTAGGCAAATTGGAAGATATCACCTAGTGACTTTTATCTCCACCGGGACTTAAGCCAGAGACCTAGTTTTCATCTTATATTATCTCCATTAAGACTTAAACCGGAGAGGCGGAGACCTAGTTTTCATCTTAAATTTTGAGTCTTCATATATTTTGTTTTAGAGATGAAAGATACAACACTGATACAAGGACCCCTTTGCAGAAAACTTTATGACCGGCTATCAGGTAGTTTTTGACCGAGAAAAGATGGTTTTGGGATGGAAGCCATCCAATTGTGAGTTTCTGTTTCCTTATTTAACATTAGAACCATCTGCCTATGCGAAACTAGTTGAAGTCTAAAATGGAGTCCTTATTTACAGGTTATGATTCTAAAGAATCCAAAAGTAGAACTACTCTCCCTGTTAACAAGCAAAGGCCTACTGAAGGGTCTGATCCTACCAGTGGGCTGCCAGAAGACACCAGAGAAAATGGAAATGATATCATTAGGTCGACACCAGATTTTACAGCATCAACATCTGCGGGCAACTATGTAACAAAGAGCTTGACATTCTTTTGCCAACTTGTAGTGGTTCTGTTTTTCCTTTATAGCCATTATTTGATTATTTAATAATTATTTCTTCATAAGTTCTTTATTCTTGTATATAGTGAGCTCTGTGTACGTGGTGCTATAGTAACTTGAAAAAGTAAAAAAAAAATCATTTTTCCCATACTGCAATGTTGTTCTGTGATTTGTTTTTGTCAATAATATGGAGACAGACGATAGAGTGTAATAGTTCATGTCACTTGAGTACTCTATCGTAGTCTCGTTATAGGAAGCTGAAAGGGCTCCTTTCGTACAAAAACTGGCACCAAGCAGCAGCATTCCCTTGATTTAATGGTGATATTTCCCACTTTATTAGCTTATGCATAGGAAGAGTTGAGAGCAGACCTAGAGCCTGTTTGATTGACTTATTTTAACAATTTTTAAGCACTTTTGAAGTGTTTGGATAAATTGAAGAAGTGCTTATAAGTATGGTTTTAAGTTAAGAGCCTGTTTGGATTGACTTTTAAAAAGTAACTTTTGAAAGTGCTGAAACTTATTTTTAAAATAAGTAGTTATGTGTTTGGATAAAAGTGCTGCAGTTGAAAAAAAGTAATTGATGTATTTGGCAAATAAGTGTTGGTAAGCACTTTTTTTAATCAAAATGTCCGAAATACCCTTAAAGTTGTTAGCATGATAAAAAGTTGATTAATTTAAGGTTTTTATACTTAATTAAAACAAAATTAATTTATATTTTACATCCATAAGTAATAATATTTCCTATCATTCACATATTCTTTATCATCACAAATTATTTATAAGAGGAACATAAATTTATTATTTAAGTTAATTTTGTATGCGCAGCTTAATAATAATACTAATAATAATAACAACAACAACAACAATAATAATAATAATAACAATAATAATAATACTAATAATAATAATAATAATAACAATAATAATAGTAAATAATAAAATAATAATAATAATAAATAATAAATATAATAATAATAATAAATATGAAAATAATAATAATATAATAATAATAATATATATAATAATAATAATAATAATAATAAATATAACAACAACAACAACAACAATAATAATAATAATAAATATAATAATAATAATAATAATTTTAAAAAAAAAGAGTAAGGGCAAAAATGTCTATACTTGGTCAACATAAAATGTCTTTTAAGTTGAAAAAAAAAAGCACCGCTCATCTAGCTTTTAGCTTTTGGCTTAAAATAAGTCTTTTTTGACATAACATAAGTCATTTTGATATTGCCAAACACTCTAATAAGTCAAAACCTGACTTAGCTTTTAAGCCCATCCAAACAGGCTCTATTCTAAATTGATAAAAATAAGCCTAAAGTCAATCCAAATAGGCTCCTAGTATGGAAGGAAAATAGAATATGGTATTCCTAGTACTTACTGTGTAGTTCTTCAAACACCAACTTAACTTGCATTTTTGAATGCCATATCAAGATTTGAAGGGAAAAAATCAAAATCTGTTGAGGTTTTAGAGTTCAAATGCCAAATCTACGGATTTCACTTGATAAGCAGCTAGTTTAAAGGAAATACCTCTTCCCCCTCTATATTGTATCTATTATCCCGATTCCAACGTATATCAAAATATGGAAGGCTGGGATTCAGGATCTTGAAATTCTAGTTAAAACACTACAATGAAGAAGCCAGAAGAATAACTGGCAGCATCCCACATATTGCTCCTTCTGTAAGTATTCTAAGGCCAAGATACAGCACCTCAACTATGTTTTGGAATGCAAAATTATAACTAGGTTCCCTTATTTACATGTAAACTCTAGAAAAAACTGGTATTATGCTTACTAATTTAAAAACAGAACCTAGTAACAGTAAATGAAGTTTAAGTCATGTTCTCTAAATGCCAAGGTGTTTGTGTTTTGTGAATTCGAGGCATACCATTAATCAAAATGTATAAATCACGAGGCTTTATGCAGAAATATGTTACTATTCACGCTTACTGGAAAACACAATCTATGCCCAAGTGTAATAAGCATGGATGATTGAAATGCAAAAAGTTTGCGCAAAACTACCTCATGAAAAGAAGAGAAGAAAATAAGCTACATCCAGGTATTACTAATCAAGGAGTAGCACTTCTTATAAGCCACATAGCAAAGTACAGATTGCCACAACTAAGACTGCAGCGAAGTGCAAGTTGACATAATAAAGAGGTTCAACTGACGTAACCTGACATAATTCTCTTTAACATCTTCCATCAGCTTATGAACTCCAAACGTTGTTTGTCAATGAGTTGTGCTAAATACTACCTCTTTGACCATCAGTTCATTTACCAGGCAAATCAACAGGGCAATGAGAATGTGATGCATCATCAGTCTCGATAATCTTGCCATCTGTTGGTACAAGACGAGGAATCCCATCCACTATCTAATTGAACACAAGGAGACTCATAAGCAATAACGAACTTAAGAAACCAGCAAAATGTAAATCATGAAGTGAAATAAAAAAACCTTCAGTTGATCCGACACAAATCTCCTCTAAATTTCCTTCGTTTGTACTGACGATATTTTTATGGAAAATGTTCTTGAATTAATATCTTTAATCATTTGTCATGAAATAACTTTCTAAAAAAAGTGAAGGAAAGTTATACCCCAATTTGTTTATCTTACTTTTTTTAGACTGTTTCAAAAAGATGTCTCTTTTATTTGGCAACTCCTTGATTCTAACTTTCTCCATATATGTTAATCCACAAGATTAAAGAGCATTTCAATACATTATACATATTTTCAATTTACGAACACAAGATTCAAAAGTCTTGATATTTATTTTCCTGAACTCCATGCCAAGTCAAACCCAAACAACCAAATTGAAATGTAGAAAGTAATATAATAAAGTGAAAAAAGGACATATATACCTCCGAACTATCATAAATGGTGTGGAGATACCCTCCGTTATATTTTTGGGACATTGGTGCCCCTGCCATTCAAAAACTAGAACATATATGATGTCCTTCACACTAACATCATACTAAATAGGGATACGTCGCGCAATCTTATCCGTAGATCCGATATTTAACAATCAGTAGATAAGACTATGATACGTGTATGTCCGTTAGTATAAAAGGTATATATATTCTAGTTTTTGGACGACGGAGCATCAATATCCCAAATGTACGATAGTGGATATATGCATAACATTTATGATATTTCGGAGTATATTTGTCCTTTTTCCCTTTAATAAATTTATTATTCAAATTACTGGTGCTTAACAGTATGAAACAATACAATCTATCAAGAAGTTTGTATTAATCAAAATAATACAATATAATACATTATGATATGATAGGTAGCAAACATTATTCGCATTCACACAGTGGAAATAAAACTCAAATGTCCAAAACAAAACAAAACGAATCACTCACCGGATATGAAACACCAATTGCATCACTGATTAGAGAATTCGTCTTCTCGCAAAGCCTTAAACGGAAAAAAAAAATGAGTTGAGAAAGAAAAAAAATATCAAATTTAAGTAAAAAAAAATTCTGACCTTAAAGGTTGCTTAGAAAGTGGACAGACAAGAATTTCGAGGATCTTCTTGTTAATCCCTTCTTTCAGAAGTATTCTTCCAAATTTCACCATTTTTATCCAATTTGATTCTCAGCAATCTAGGGATTTCAAATGATGGGTTAGCGGGTCAAAAAACAACAAATCAGCTCAATTTTGATTTATTAACTCTTCCCCCACCCCCACCTACCTATGTTATTGTAATTTCTCACTTTTAATTTAATTTGTTTATTTATTATTCCACTTGAAAATCAACTTAAATTTTTTTAAAAAAAATAAGGCGTTTGATATTTGTTTAGATTTGTTCTCACACTCTATTTGTTGCATAATGCCATTGTATCTTCAACTCTAGATTAAGCCATTTACGTATCGAAATAGAAATACTATTTTCAATAAACCCTCAAATAAAGAATCTTCTTCTTTTCAAAGAAGGGAGAGAAGTGAGAAAAATAAATTTCATTTCTCAAGTAGCATTCCGAATTAATTGTGTCTTTCGCACCCTTATAATCATTCGATCTTCACCATCACCCACCTCACCTCCCAAAAGAATTATCTAAAGACTATATACAAATGACTTTAAGATGATGTTTAAGCACAATTTAACTTTTCAAATTTTTTTCACTCTGTTTGGGTTCTTAAAATTCCACCAGTCTTGGAACACTCAATGCCCCTTTTAGGGGTTTTCAAGCAAAGAAACAGTGCTACCAATCTGTTTTCTTTCAACAAACAATAATGATTTCCAAAAGATCACCTTACACAAAAACAAGAATCTACTGAACTTGAAAAATTGATCTGTACAAAAGCTATCCGAAAGAACCTCGGATGGCATTATACCCCACAAGTATAGAATCTGACCATTCAATGTGCACAAACTATAGAAGATTTACTGTTGTAGGGGGTATTAAAACGAAGACAACCCAGTAATCAAGAAAATGAATGGCTACTACAAATCAAGAAAGTACATAGCAACTCTACACAGCACGTGTGCTGGTCACCGAGAGGGATTTCCTCTTGGATCGTGACATGAAAGGCGTTGGATGAGTGAAGCATATACATGGGTTGGGAGTGATGGGAATGAAAACCAAGACTACCTCTCAGCCTTTCCTACCACTGTTAAGTATTCTATGTAGATGGAAACCTTCACCCTGATCCCCATTAAACGTTCTCTTCGCCAAGAAGCAAGCACTTAACTGCCTGAGTAGCCTGTCAAGACGTGAATGTAAGCACTCTCTTGAATCTTTCACACTCGGATTCGTTGACAATACCATTGCATTGACAGCATCAGCCACAATATCTCGCTGTGAATCTCCTAGAAGATACCCAACAGAGGATTTCTGGGGTTGTTCATATGCCAGTAGAGCAGCACAATCCTATGATGATATAGACATAGAGGAACAGTAAGAACAAATATTTGCTCAAGATAACATTAGATGCAAATACGTAATATGTCTAGCTTAAACATACCCAGCATTGCAAAATTAACACATTTTTGGCAAGAGTAACTATTGAGCTCCTGGATCATGAAAAGAAGACGGTGCTGGACAGTACAAAGAAAGGCAAAGAAAACTGTTGGAATATTGGTAGGACACATACTACAAGTTAGATAATCCGCAATAAACGTAGGAAACATGATAGCTTTGTTCTCTCTCAAAGGAGACTTGGAGAAGGAGATCCTTCGTCACCTTTTTATTTCATTATTGTTATGGAATGGAAGGGCTCAACAGGATGATAAAGCTTGTCAATCAACAAGAATGGGTAAGGTGGTTCAAATAATAGTGGTAGTATGGAATTTACTTTATGTGGATGCTTCTTTGGTGTTATGTGATACTAAGTTGGAGCAATTAAGGCACCTAAAGCTTAATTTTAACTGTTTTTGAAGGTGTGTCTAGAGATAACATGTAAAGTGGAGGAAGAACCTACCATTTTCAGTAAATGCGAATTCAAGTGCTGGCAGGTATATTGGTTGAGAGATGGTTCCCAACCAACAAACTATTTGGGGTATGCCATCTGAAATTAAGTTATATATTATATCTATGATATTCTAGAATAATCATACAGAACCTAACAGAGGAAATTTTGAAATCTTCTCTGAATATTTTTTTGGGGGGGATGACAAGGGAAACCCGCAGCCGTAAAGGGTGCGCACAGGATAAAACCCCTGCTTCTATGTAATAGCTCGCAAACCACATAGGAGAGGTAACCCGCACTAGGCAACCCTAGGTCAAGCTCTGGCAAGGAATTTCGAACTTGAGACCTCCAACATGGAATTCCCAAGACCACTGGACCACCCCGAAGGGTTTCTTTTCTGAATATATTTGAGGTGAGCTGGGTAGTGGTGATGACTGTGAATGAACTCTTCTGCTGCTGGTTGGATAGAGGGATAGGAAGGGACTGAGGAAACTGCTGATAACAGTCCCTGCTTGTGTGCTGGATCATATGGAAGGAGAAAACCTTAAGATGCTTTTGACAAAAATTTTACTGCTCTACATAGTTTGAAAATAGAAGTGTACTTCTGAAATCTCCATGATGTAATATGCAAATTCTATGAGGATAAGATAATTGAACCCATTATCTCAGTACTACAATGAACAAATTTATGCAAATGGGAAAACATTGTATACCCTTTTTCACAATGTTCAACACATGTTAGTGAGGATTCTCCTATTAATACAACGCTAATCAGTAAACACAGCCACAAAAGGGTAACAGAATTTCCTGCAGTACCTTGACCAAATCATCATAGTCTCCCAACTTATAGAATTTTTCAAATTCAGTCCTGCCATATAACACAGCTTCTTCAAGCTTTCCAACCTACAGATGGAACATAAGACTTCAGAGTCTATTGTATTTATATGACTACACGACACCATAGAGCGAACAGAAGATTAGCCAACAACTGACATTCTTGTACAATCCCAGAAGTGGAGGAATAAGATAATTCGAGGATGCATCTAAACAATGTCAAAGGAAGCACCAGAATGTTCATTTCTTTGTGGCCTCATTGACTTCTTTTGCCACATACTTATGAGCTTTCTTTCTTTTACATGCACCCACCGCCATTTTACTGTCTACTTGAACTTATGTTTCCTGCCTGATCTCTAGCATGAACCTACATTCTTCTCAATATGATTTCAAACTTTAAAAAAAAGGGTTGAATTTTCACCAAGAAGTCGGAAGAATTAAACCATTTACTTAGGGGTAGCTGCAGTGATTTGTCCTGTGGCTACAGGTTCTATACAGAGAGAGAAACATGAAGCAGCAGAACCATGTGCAAAAACAACTTACCCGTACTAGCTCAATAAAATTTTGACAGTGAAGCAGAAAGCATATTGCTGATGTGCCATCCTAAAAAGCATAGAGCAACTTATCAGGAAAAGAGAAGTGAGTCGGAATAGAACAAGTTTTTCGTCACATAGTGGACAGAAGAATGCAATACTAGTTCATTGTGACTCAAGCTAACTAGCGAGCAAACTGAGACATATTGAAAAGCTAAATGCCAACCATAGTATTAGAGTGCCATATATATCTGCAAAAGACTTCCCTTCAACTTTAAACTACTTTCATTGAAGGCTACGGAAGAAAGAAGAGGAAAACATCAGGAAACAATACGTAATAAGCTTTAATGACAGCAATTTCAAATTTCTCAAATTTGAGTTATTCTTTGGTATTAAAACGAAGCTGTTTGTTTGAGAAGATTTGATAGAGGTGTATTGAAGTTTAAAACGTTTAGCACTTGATCGAATTGTTAATAACTTGCAACAACAACAATTCTAAGTTTTGACGCTCTATAATTGATTTTTAAACTATTGTAGTGTAATTCAAACTATAGATTTTCAAACTATTAGTGTAATCCCACAAGTGGAGTATGGGGAGGGTGGTGTATATGCAGCCTTACCCCGACCTCGTGAAGGTAGAGAGGTTGTTTCCCATAGATAAATACAAAGAAGAAAATAACAAAATGATAAAAGCAAGAATATCTTAGAAAATTTCTACAGCATCCTCTCTTATAAGGAATCATTGTTCATAAGATTGTGATATATCACATAATTTATTGATACATTCCAGTTTTAGGTGTTAAAATGATGTGTTTTTAACTTAAAACTCGTATAGCTTACTGATACAAGTACCATGTGATCTCGTGTAGCTTACTGATACAAGTACCATGTGATCCACACATTCAAATAGCTTAATTGATAATTTATGCAATTATTTAAGTAACTATATTGCGAAAGTAGCTTGATTGATAATTTATACAATTTTTTAAGTAACTTTATTTCGAAAGTAGTTAAATTAAGACAAGCTTCGGTAATGAATTTTATATTTATGTTTTAATAAAAAGTTGGGGGTGAGGAAGGGGAAATGGGGGAGGGGATTACAATGTGGGGAATCGAACCCTCACCAAGAAGGTGGGAGTTCAGGTAGCCAACCAACTAAGCTACTAAGATTCCCCAAGCTTCGGTAATGACGATTATTGATTATAGTAGTTCTTTTTCTTCCTTTTCTTAAGCACATAGAAATTCTTGTGAATGAACTCTAAATAGTTCAGCACAACAGAGATAATAGGTACTATATATTTACATTTCTGGAGAATTCCTTAATTAATAATTTTTGCAAGTGTCCTAATTTTCCCTGTGATATTCAAGAAACAGCCTGGAGTAATAAACAAAACAAACAAACAAAAAAGGGAAATTCCATATACCATATGTACATCTTATGTATATACACACAAAAAAAATTATAGCATAAAGTAATATAAAAAAAGTACCAAGAAGGTACAGAAAGGAGGAAAAATAAAATATACACAACATTAGATAAGAATAAGTTGACTGCCAAACATATATTTCTAGTAAACTAATGTCAAGAAACAATAGAAGGTAAGATTTTTTTCTCAAAACAAAAGAAGGTAAGATTTGAGAAAAATAGAACTAAAGTAGGAAGTAGAAAACAAAGAGCATGAATAGCGTATAGATACTTAAGGATGCAAAATTATACATCAAGTATGGAACTTCAACAGCATCTTGTGCAAGAAGGTCAAGGGGAGGTGAATGAAGTTGCAATAGGATTTACATGACGTTTGACAATATCAGTCAACAGAAAAATTACCTGGAGTATCTGTGGATATAACTCTCTTAGTTTACCAAAGGCATCACCAATTTGACCGCTCCGAATTAGCTGTTTAAACAACAAAGAC